AAGTGGTGCGCTAAGAAACTAAAACAAAAAGGACTAAAAATACTAATATTTACAAATTAATCTGTTAGAAAAACTATTCTTAAAACGGTTCAGTGTTAACCGCAAGATATAGTTTAGTGAAACTTTCTATTTTTGAGTAACCTATTCCTGTCTACCCAAATCCGTCAAATTGAAATCTAGCCGCAGAGGAAAATCATATAGGACCGTGAGGGACTTGATTCAAATCAAAATCAGACGCTCTTGGAGCGTGCACTGGGTTGCCCAATGTGTGGGTATCCCGGAGCTCAACTAAGTCGTAAAATGCTTGGTCTTTTACTGGGTTGCCTGTGGCAGTCAATTTAAAAGTTGCGCGCTAACGAATTGTGTAGTGTTAAGTTGTTTTAATGTGGGCAGTTAGCATGATTAGAGTTCACACCTACATGCGAGCTACTTTAAATCGATTCGAGACCACCTTGTGATTGATCTCGGACTGACCGCAGTTCGCTTTAGACCGTTCACACTTGGCCAGTTTGTCTTTAGATCGATATGAGCAAAGATCCACCCAGCCCCTCCCCAATCATTGATTGCAGTGGAACGGCATGACCTGTCAATCATCAATATGTTCATCATAATAGCATCCTCAACAAGGCATCCATCATAGTTAAGATGATGAAAAAAGTCAATTATTGGCCAAACCAAAATTGGTTAACAACTTGCTTACATTGATTGAACCCTTTATTGGTACAAATATTACCATTCATAAATGTTACAAGTCAACTATTCATTGGTAAAGCATACATATGGTATAAAGTATACAATATACAGCAAGCACTAGACTTTTGGCCCATATCTTCATTCAGATCAACTTTTTCCAAAGAAAAAATCATTTAGCATGTAACCGTAAACAGAGGGTGTTTTCAGGCAACCATGTTAAAAGACAAAAGAACAGAGGTTTTTCCATCTGTTCCTACCCTACAGGTTGGCTGACATGGAATCAATGTATGGAAAATCACTGTATCCCTAACCTCCCTGTCTTAAATGTTTTTAAATTTCATTTTTCATATTATCATTTTTAAAATGCCGAGAAAGCCACACTCAGACTAGCTTTCTTCCACTTCTGAGTCAGATTCATTTTCTTTCTCGTTAACCTTTCTTTTCTTCTGTTTCTTTTCTTTTATTGTGGCCTTTGGTTTCTTGACTGATTCTGACTGTATTGCTACTGGTCTTTCTGGGAGAGAGTTATAAATAGGTAAAGACACTGAATTGGAGGTTTTTATGTTCAGTGATTTGATATTTTTCCAGCCACGAGGAATGATATTTGCAATGCCTTTTGCAGTTTCCATTATGTTTGCAGTAACTTCTTCTTCTGTTAGACCTGTGTGTCCAATTTTGATGGCACTAAAAGTAAACAAGAAAATATATAAAGCTTTCTTCTTATTTGTTCAGGCATAAGATATCCTTGAGGTGCAAAATGAAATCATAAAATAAATTATAGTTTCAGATTTTAGAGTTCATGTTTTCCCCCTTTGGTTTAACCAAGCTGACTCACTTTTATCAGAGCCCTGCAGTCAAGAAGAGTTATTCTACCTTTAGACTTAGACTACTCACCTACAAGAGCCATGACCAAGAGACATGTATGTGCTTTGTAAGACTTTATTGATTTCTCCTTTTAAGTCTTTCTTCTTCAAACTGACAGGAATAGGAAATCTAAAAAGTAATTTGATAGTATTGATTACGTGAATATTGACACTATGCAGTCTAATCTTATCTAAATCTAATCAGATTTACCACTCCATAGTGGACAGAAAGCCTAACAGGAAACCAGAGAAAAACCCTTGAAGAGTCATAGAGAACCAACAAACAACTCTTCTCATACAGGAGAGTAAGTCAGGGAATT